CGTCCAGGCAGCCCGGGTGGCAGAGCTCAGGGCCGTCCAGGCAGCCCGGGGGGCAGAGCTCAGGGGCGTCCAGGCAGCCCGGGTAGCAGAGCTCAGGGGCATCCAGGCAGCCAGGCTTGCTCTGCCCGTTCTTAAGCGCGTGGCCCATGCAGTTGTGGCATTGGATTGGCACTGCCTGGTGCGGGCCCTGCCGTTTCTAACCAGCAGGTCCCACCTCACAGACAGGATCCGGGGCGCCGGGCTCCCCATGGAGAGCGCCATCCTGCTCGGGAAGCTGGAGCAGCACGAGGAGGCCCTGCGCATCCTGGTCCACGAGCTGGCCGACTTCCCGGCAGCGGAGGGCTACTGCCTGTGGCGCTCCGAGGGCCGGGCCCCGCCCTACCGCCGGCAGCTCTTCCAGCTGCTGCTGGCCATCTACCTGGGCCCCGGCCCCTCTGCGCCCGAGCTGGCCGTGGCCGCCGTGGACCTCCTGAACCGCCGTGCCACCGAGTTCGACGCGGCCCAGGTCCTGCAGCTGCTGCCGGGCACGTGGTCGGTGCAGCTGCTCTGCCCGTTCCTGACGGGGGCCGTGAGGGACAGCGTCCACGCCCGGAGGACCACTCAGGTGGCTATGGGCCTGGCCAAGTCCGAAAACTTGATCTACAAGTACGACAAGGTGAGAGCCCGGCCCTCTCGGGCGAGACGTGTGATTTGAGGTCGGTTTTCCCCGTGGAAAAACAGTCCTCGTCCGTTTCTTCTCTGTAACTTCAACACACGTGATTGCTTCACACAGACACAGGTGTGTGAGCCCAGGCGGGAGCCGGGCCGGCAGGTGTATGGTTGGGGCAGCTTCCCGCCCCTTTTAGACACTGACGGTCCGCAGAGCCGTGCTCCGGGCCCTGGTCCACGCTGCACGTCACAGTGTCACTGCATCCACACAGCACTTCCGGGCACAATTGCGTCCCCGTCACAGAAGGGGGGCAGGGGCACCAGGAGGTGACATAGGACACAGGATCCCGGCTGTGGACCGCAGGCCAATTCAGAGCTGCACGTCCCGGGTCCCCATCTCTGTCCCCTGGGCTTGCTGTGACTAATAATAACAAATTCCACAGGCCGGGGGCTCAGACGACACGCATCCTGTTCTCACCGTCGGGGGGCCGGGAGCCCGAGATCCAGGCGCCGACAGATTCGGCGTCCAGTGAGGCCCCCTTCTCGCTGAGCTCACAGGGCCGGGAGCCAGCGCTGGTCTCTTCCCCCCCATAAGGGCCCTGAGGCTGTCCTGGGGGCCCACCTCCAAACACCATCCCACGGGGGGTCAGGGCCTCGACGTTTGGTGAGAGATACAGGCATTCAGTCCATAACATCCCCAAGCTTATCCAGAGGAGGCTTCTCTCTGGTGAGGCCCAGACGCCCCGCAGCCAGGAACCTGTCCTTCCAGAGCAGGAATCCGCCGTGTTCCTCCCGCTGGGAAGCCTTCATTGACTCCCCAGTGGAGAAGCCGAGGCCGGCAAAATTCAGCCTCCCTCCTCTGGCCTGTCCCTGCCCGGCCCCGGGTGCTCAGACCCTCCCGATGGACTTGCCGTTTCGTACGTACGGCCTTAGAACCCACCGTCTCCTCTGCCTGAGACGGCTCACCTCTTCCTTCTGCGCCTGGTGAACGCCTACTTGAAACCCCGCCTCAGTCTTTCCTTTGTGAAACCTTCCCACCCCTTGAAGCAGACGGGTGCCCCGTGTGCCGACTCACGTGCTGCGTCTGTAGCTGTCCCCTTCCCTGTTAGGCTTTGGGTTCTCTGAGGGCAGGAACTTCCTTTACTTATCTCGGTATTCCTGAGCCAACCTGGCATCTTGAAGGCATTGAATGTTTGCTGAATGACTAAAGAAACTAATGAGTAGGGTGAATTCACTAAGCCATCGCTCTGTCCTGCCACTAGGCTGACTTGCTGGGCTGATTCACGCAAATTGTGCAGAAAGGCTTTTAGCTTGCAGAGCTCAAGTCCTGTTTAATCAGACAAGAAATAATAAAGTTTTGTTAGTTAACATTTAAAGAAAGGAAATGACGTTTCCTGGGGCCAGTCGGGAACATGCCACGGATCAACCCCATGGGTTTGACCCAGTCTCTTATTTGGGCCTTAACGTTTCTTGTCTGCAAACGAGGGGAGCAGGGAATTAGATAGCTTTCATGGTCTTGTCAGCTCTAACGCCCCGTGATTCTGTAATAGGCCTTGCTTGAATAGATCAGAGCTCAGAGAATGTCTGAAAGATCTTGGTGAGAAATTCCTCCGCCAGACAAGCAGCAATTGCTTTTGTGAAATAAGGCAGTTCTGTAGCTTTTTTGACTTTTCCAGTTCCGGAGGGTGTTTTTGTTTATTTTCACCGCTGATACTCTGTTTCGAGAAATTGATCTTAACGCTGTCCTCACCAGTGATGGTAGCAACCCCCGGGGTGATGCGTGTCAGCTCTGAAGACCGGTGTCACTTATGTCACAGGCGTCCCTGTCTTTGTTTCTTTTTGCAGATGAAGCTGAAAGGAAGCTCAGTTCGGCTCTCGGACAAAAAGCTTTGCCAGATGTGCCGAAACCCCTTTTGCGAGCCCGTGTTTGTTAGGTATCCCAACGGTGGTCTCGTCCATACCCACTGTGCGGCCAGCAGGCACACGAACCCCAGCTCCCCCAGCCCCGGGGCTCGGACTTGAAGAGGCTGGGCCGAGGGCGCCTTACCAAGCCGGCCAGGTGCACAGAGTAGGCGGCCGCGTCAGCCGCCATCTGGTGCCGGGGGGCTTCAGTCGTGGGAAATGGGATGCGGCCGACCCCCTGCATCGGATGGAAATGGATAATCCCCGAAATAGAGACAGGCCAGATTCACCCGTCCAGGGACATCGCCACCCAAAACAGATGTCTGCTCTGAAAGGAAATGAGCCTTCCTGTGCCACCCGGACAAACCAGACCCCGCACCCCGAGCCCCGATCTGTAGACACGTATTTGCACTGGAAACGTTTGCTCCGGTGGCACGGAGGGGACCGCGTCCTGGCGGGCGAGCGGCCAGGGCGCAGAGCTCTCCATCCTCACCGCCTGGCCACCGGCCACCCTGTGGGCTCTGCCTTTGCCCTGAGGGACAGCTGACCTCAGGGAGGTATCCCATCTGGCTTGCAGCCCCTAAAAGGTCTGCCTGGGTACCCAGGCCCTCCCTTTGGGGTAGATTCATCCGCTTCTGTCTGCCTCGCAAGTGAAGGCTCCGAGAAGCTGTGACGCGCCGGAACGAGCTGCTCGCGGGGTCTGGAGCCGACGGTGGGGCCAGGAGCACACGGCGCATCGCCCGCCGGTTTATAACTCCGTGATTAACATGTTCGATTAGAACTTTTAATTTGGCGTTATATCCTCGTGGTGATTCTTCTCTCTTTTGGAAATTCACCTCCGTCATGTTCATTCGGGACGTTTTTCTTTGCACCACCCCCCGCCCCACTGATTCCTCGGGAAATTAAAAGGGAAAGGTTGTGAGCACAAGCTGAGCGTGTCTTCCGGGGAGGCTGGTGGTCACCTCCACGCTGGCCAGGGCGGGCCGTGGGTGACAGCTGCCCTGCGCGATGGGGATGTCACCCCTCCCGAGGGAGCGCCGCCCCCAGAGGAAGTCCAGGCGGGCTGCCTTACCTCTAGCACTTTACACGCCTGCCCTGCGGCTTCCTGGACACACAGGACAGACACCTCCCCGCATCACAGACCCCGCGTCCATTCCGCGTCTCTGTCCAGCATCGCGGAGAAGCTGACACTGTTGTTACTTCACTGCCCTCTTCTGAATTTCTTCTTGGTGATTATCGACTCTATCGGGGACTAAGAAGAAAGATGCCGTGACGCCTGGCAAACGTGCATCAGCTCGTGCGTGTGACGAGGGGACCCCGGGATCTGGCCCCTCTCCTTCAGCCCAGCCCTTAACAGACGGGGTGGAGAGCTCATCCTCCCTTCTGTGAAGACGCTTTCTGTACTGATCACGGTCACTGTTCTCTTTCCTGTTGTGATTCCAGGGGGTCCAGAAAACAAAGGCATCTGTGCACTCTTCCCTACTGTGTCTCGATTTCTAAAGAATAAATGATGAAGAAATCCTTGCAGCTCAGCCGTGTGCTGTGTAAGCTGGTGTGAATGAAAGCCCAGTCATGAGTCTTACCCTGCGGATGGCTGTGAAGGAACGGCCATGTCACTGGGGACGTTCCCATTACGACTCGTGAGTTTGGGGTTATCCCTCAGAGAACAAGTGACTAGGACACGGAAAACTGCACCTTTAAAAGCACTGTTTCTCTCCACGAGATGGGTACAGTCCTGGAAAAGCCTTCTGATTGTTCCTTTCTCACTTGGGGGCACTGGTCTCTCTCTGCTCTGAACATTGATCAATATTTTGAAATGTTTGTTATCCTTTAGAATGATGGGAACTGAAGTTGAGCAGTTTCTATCTCTACTCTAGAATCCTCTAATGCAGCAGAATTCTCTGACCCTGTGCAGAATTGTTAAAAACCTTGCCTTTCTCTAACTCCCACAAGGCCATTTTCTCAAATCATATTTTTTAAAGAAGTACGTGGTTCTTTCTAAAGACCTGCTGTCTTGTGATTGTGCCATTGGTTAGAGGAATTAGAGCCATCACTTGGCCCTTGTCCCCCTGGGTCGGTTCGATGTCACCATCCTAGTTAAAATAGCATGAACTGGACTCAGCTGACGTTAGTATTCTCTGGGCAGGACTCTTCATTTTCACGAGCTGGTTATCTGCTGTCGCTTATCAGGTATCCATGTGGGAGTGGCACGTGGGCTATGGAGTCTTGAGCCCACGCGCAGGGCCGGAAGGCCCGGGCCTGAGCCCCGGATGTGCTTGCAGTGGGGTCCAAGGGCCCTGGGTACCACCCTTGAGTCACTGCCTGTCACACAGCCAGGGTAACCTGGGCTTCCCCCTCGCCCACCTACGGAAACCTGGTCCTTTCAACTTTACCCTTTGCCCCTGGTTGGATCCCAAATACACAAGATGTACAAATGTAAACTTGTTGATTTTATTAAAATTCTTTTGATTCTTTGTCCCTCCTGTAATTGTTTTTTAAATAAACGTCTCGGTGACGTGATGGTTTCTGCTTGCATGGCGCCTAATAGCCCAAGGGCCATAGAACTTAGTCATCTGCCCTGGTGGTGCCTTCCAGCTCCTGCAAAAGCACTTGCATTGGTCGTTCCTCAAATCCTTTGGTGTTGCTTCACTACATTTTAAACAATGCACTTTTTAAAAAAAAAATTTTATTTATTTTTTGCGGTGCGCGGGCCTCTCACTGTTGTGGCCTCTCCCGTTGCGGAGCACAGGCTCCGGACGCGCAGGCTCAGCGGCCATGGCTCACGGGCCCGGCCGCTCTGCAGAATGTGGGATCTTCCCGGACCGGGGCACGAACCCGTGTCCCCTGCGTCGGCAGGCAGACTCCCAACCACTGCGCCACCAGGGAAGCCCCTCTCTGCAGCTTTTTGCAGCCGGGGAAGGGAAACAAATAGTTATAATGCAGCCTGCAATCCAGAGTCCTAAATTAGTGCAACAAGACACGAGGTAAGAAGGAATTAGAAAGCAACACACACAACCCGCAGGCCACGTGTGACTTGGGAAGTAAAACGCTGTCACTAGGGTCTCACTGGGCTCTGGCACCCTCTGCTGTGGCCCTGGCAGGCCACCTCCCCTCGGCCGTGGTGTCACCCATAGCCTGGAGGTGGTGGCTGAGGGCCCTCTGGGTGTTAGGCCTTAGTCTCAGGACAAAGCAGCGGGATGGGCCAGCCTGGGATACCAAATGCTGCTCTCTGGGACCTCGGGTCTCGGGGACGCACAGGAACTCCTCTGCAGCGGCCCCGCGGACGTGTCTGAGCGCCCGGGGCAACAGCTGCAAGAATCTCATTGCGTTGCTGCAATCAGCAAGAAGGCCCCTCTGTGCAGCCCCTGGCTCCAGAGCTGGTCTGCGGCTGCCCTTTTCTCTTCTCTTCTTTCTTTATAATTGATTTTTATTGGCATATAGTTGCATTACACTGCTGTGTTAGTTTCTCAGCTCTATGTATACATATATCCCCTCTTTTGGATTGCCTTCCCATTCAGGTCACCACAGAGCACTGAGCAGAGTTCCCTGTGGTTCTGAACCTCTCTTTACACAAACCTCTAACATCTTTCAGGGAGGGAAGGAGATATGCCCGTCCCCAGAGCCCTGGTCCTGCCCCTGCTTAGGTGGTCGGTCCTGCTATTATGGCTCGGTTCCTGCCTTCAGGTAGGTCACATAGTGTGTGCGTGCGTGTGTGTGTATGTGCATGTGTATGTGTGTGTGTGTGTGTGCGCCTGCGTGTATGTGCAAGCATGTGGATGTGTGTGCGTGCATATGTGTGTGTGCATGGGCGTGGGGGGGTGTCTGGGATGGTGAGGACTGCAGTTCACCTCTTCCAACATGCTAATCAGGGAAGCAGGGAGTTAGACCAGCCCCTGTTTCCTCCCGTCCGGCTTCTTTGCTGCTGGGAGGAGTCTGGTGCTGTTCCCACACCTGCACTCAGACCTGTGTGGCGGGTCACCTGCAGCAAGGGTTCCCTAACTGCAAGTGGGCAGCGGGCTGTCCCGGCACGTGGCACATGTGAGCCCCCGTAACCAAGCATCCCCTCTGCTCCTCTGACCGTAATTGCATGCAACCGCGTGTTGGAAACGTGCAGGGGCTGTGCCACCCTCCTGTTTGGGCTTGGTGTAATTTCCTGGTGTAATTTCCAGGTATCTGGTGTTTGTACAAATACTAGAAAATACGCTGCTTTGTAGCAGCTGACAGAGAAGCTCAGTCATTCCCAACCCGCCTCCGTGCCAGGGGCACACCCACCAGGCCAGGAGCTGAGGGGCTAAAAGACTCACCTTACCAAGAGCTGTACGCAAGGTGCTAAGGGGGCGGTTTTCCTTTTTCAATCCATGCATTCATTTATTCGTATATTCATTCATTCATTCCACAAGTATATAGTGGAAGATGCTCCGTGCCAGACATCGTGCTCCGTTCTGCAGAAAAACTGGTGAGAGACACATCTGGTCTCAGCCCTGCTGGAGGTAATGACAGCCCCGGGGGACAAATGCCGGAGGACGCAGTGCCGGTGGACCAGATGCACGGAGTTGGAGGGAGAGTGCTACACTCAGGGTGAGGGGGTGAGCGGGCTTATGGCCCCGTGGGGATGGAGAGAAAGAGGATCTGATGACTCTGCAGCGCGGGAAGGCGGCAGGGGACAGTGACAGATGAGGCTGGAGGCCGAGGCTTCATCCCAGTTCTGGGGGAAGAGAAACACGGGTGTCTGTGCTGTAGAGAGACCAGCAGTCCCCCCGCCAGGGGCAGCCTCAGCCAGCGTGTCCATCTGGTATTGGGTCCATTCATCTTGGTCTTTACATGGTTTTTATTTATATGGGAAAGGAGTCCCGCCCCCCAAAAAAGAAACAGAATGTTGTGGCCAGTTTATTTGGAGAGTCCCTTGTATTAAAATATAGTACATGGAGGGCTTCTCTGGTGGCACAGTGGTTAAGAATCCGCCTGCCAATGCAGGGGACACGGGTTCGAGCCCTGGTCTAGGAAGATCCCACATGTCACAGAGCAACTAAGCCCATGCGCCACAACTACTGAGCCTGAGCTCTAGAACCCCGCAAGCCACAACTACTGAGTCTGCGCGCCACAACTACTGAAACCCACACGCCTAGAGCCTGTGCTCTGCAACAAGAGAAGCCACCGCAATGAGAAGCCTGCGCACTGCAACGAAGAGTAGCCCCCGCTCGCCATTAGAGAAAGCCCGCCTGCAGCAATGGAGATCCAATGCAGCCAAAAGTAAGGTAAATAAAATAAATAAATAAATAAAATTAAAAAAAAATTTTTTTTAAATGAAATATAGTACATGGATAAAAAATTGGAGGTATAGTAAGGCCAACGGATCAGGAGACAATTGCCACTGAAAAGATAGTTTTTATACTCAACGGATCCCGGAGACCCTCCTCACAGGGGAGGGGGCACACCAGCCACATGGGGAAGCACCAGGGCCAGGCAGGAGGCACAGGGCGGGTCGGGGAACGTGGGCAGGAGCCTTCACTGTGGTTTCCAAGGGAAGGAAGGGGTGAGGCAGCTGGGCAGGCTTGGGGCTGGCGAGGTGGAATGATTTCCATGGGCTCTGGGCCCAGGGGCTGCCCTGGCTGTCTGGCCCTGGCCCTGGGGCATTGGAGCAGGTGGATAGCAGCTCGGGTGTGAGCTCTCACAGAGGAGGCGGTGGGGTGTGGGCGCTGCTTGGGCTGCTTTGTATTTGGAGGGGCGCTCGCAGGCGAATTGTTCAGTGTCTCCAGGAGCCAGCCAGTCCTGGGAGTGGCAACCTCTCCAGGGTCAGCCAGGGCCCGGATGTCAAAGCATCAGAATACAGAAAATCAAAGATGTGGTTAATACAGATTTTCGATTAAACCACTGGGGTGGCCACATTGTACTCTGCTTCCCAGGACAGAGAATTGAACGTGACAAGTTTAACGTACTTCTGACAGCAAGATAGCAAAGGCTGCCCAGAGTAGCACAGGGTGAGGAACAGGAAAGAGGATGGTCTGGAAACCCTTCCCAGGCCCCGCCTGCCAGACGTGTGTTGTGGTCAAAGGGTTTCTCGAGCCTGAGTGACTCAAGTTGGCTTATACTTGCCGTGAATAAGACTTTCAACCCCAATTGGTTTCTGGAGAGATGTAAGATGCCTTTAATAGTTGTTTCTCTGTATAGCTACTGTATAGCACAGGGAACGATACTCAATATTTTCTAATAACCTATAAGGGAAGGGAATCCGAAGAAGAATGTATAATATATATATAGTCTGAATATAACTGAATCGCTGTGCTGTACACCTGAAACTAACATGATATTGTAAATCAACTATACTTCAATTTAAAAAAAGGAAAACATTAAAATATAGTTGTTTCTCATGCTTTTCTCTATATAATTAGTGAAGATATATTCATTGGCCGAAGCCTTCGCAGCACTGTCAAGCTCTTGAATTATCAATGTCTCCTCCGTCACAGGCTGTGGGCTTTCTCTCCTGGGCTCCTTCATGTCCCAATTCAGAATCCAACCTTGGCCCAGCCTGTTGGCGGATGACCCTGGTGGCTGCTGAGAAGAGCTTCACAACCTACCTTAAGAGTTTCCCAAGTTTTTGGTAACTCTCAAGCACAGCTGGTTAGAGAATAAATTGTCGTGACCTTTCCAAAAAACCAATTTTATTATGGCATCAGAAGCCACCAATTCCACTTTCATAAGTTTATTTTAGGAAAATAATCAGCAGCTAGGTAGGAAGATTTATGTCAGGGATACTCATTATAGGATTTTTTTTTTAATAGTGGAAAACAGAAAAAAACAAAACCAAACAGGGAGTACTTAAGTAACTTAGCTGCTGGTGCAGCCACATAACGGGTGACTTCCAGCCAGCAGAGATCACTTCAAAACATGAAAAAAGAATCTACCAGAACACTAAGCTAAGTTGTGGGATAGTATGATCTAAATTTTGCAAAAGAAAGACTCATTTTTATATGTAAGTTTAAAAAACTAGAATATCTTTAATTTTCTTTATGCGTTTGGGTAAAAACAAAGTTTTCACTTCTACAAGGAGCAAATTACCTCTATAATAAAAAATAATCAGTAGATATGATTTTTAAAACTTGTCTAAGACAAGGGAACATTTATTCCTAAGGATGGAAAGTACTCCATTCTCTTACAGAATCTAAATCTAAACCTTAAGGTATAGCATCACCTCATGTCTAGTTAGGAACTTACCCATATCTGCTTATTGCGTCATTTGAGAAGGAAAGGTTCGAGGAAAACAGAGCAGGGGGCCGGGGAGTGAAGAGGATCTGTAGGTTCACACGAAGGTATAAGGGAGATTTAGACTCTGGGGACAAAAACCTGGTGGAACCTCACACCTTGGAGAGCGTCCGAGCGGATGCCTCTCGGTGGTCCCAGGGCTCCCCGCCAGGGAAAGCAGTTCCTAGCAGCCTGGACTGCCTGCTTCCTGAGAGGGCGGGCAAATCCCGTGACAATCGGAGCCCTGGGGAGACAGAGCCTCCTGCTTGCCACAGTGTTTCTCCCTTCACGCTTTGAAAGCAAATTACGCTTTGCACTTTTCCGTATGCATTTATAAAGTTATTCAGTCCTGTTTGTCTTTTATGGTGAGGTGAGCGACCCTTCCTTCATGGTTTAATAAAACATCCGAAGTCTTCGTGACACCACAGCAAAGCACGGCAAGGAGGGGAGACGGCAGCAGCATTTCAATGAGGGAAGAAATGAGAAATGAGTCCCCAAAGGACACTTAATAAGGAACAGCAAACCTGTCTTTTCAAAAATGCTTCTGGAAATGAGCTTGGCTGTTTTTTCCGGCTGGATGGTTGGCAAAGGGACAGCAGCTGCCAGAGGCAGCAGGAGAGAGCGCTGGGGAGCTGGGACACGCAGATCCATGCAAGGGACCGGCCTTATTACCCCGGCCTTGGGGATGGTCAGACGTTTATCGGGACACCTCCAGGCTGAGCTGGCGGATCAGCACCCTCGGATTCCTGGTTGCAGAAGGTAACGTTCTGCTGACACCTGTGTGTTTCTCATACAGGTGAGTTCTTTCTGTTCCTATCAGACTAAGTAGGGAAAATCCCTCTGTGCTGCAGCCCCTCCCTCCCTCTCCTATTCTTAGATCACCTCGCCCCCGGCTCCTCCAGGAGGAAAGGGCAGAGGGCGGAAGGTAAACCAAGGCTGTCTGCCACAGTGCCCTCGCCCGCCCGCCCCAGATAAATGCTATTGTGTTCCAACATCCTTTTATTCTTACGCAATCCAGATGTAACCACCCCTAGGGTCCCCAGCCCTGTTTTCTTGAGCTGCTCAGTCGCCATGGCCTGGCCCCGGCCCCCCGCCCCCGCAGGTCCACCTTGCCATCAGCAAACGGTCTGCACCTTCCAATAGGCGAAGCTTTGAAAGTATACTCCTTCCTTTAACATAATCAAATTCTTGGCAGACTCGGTCTCAATCGCTGTTGATTGTGGTTTTAAATTATAAGTTTTTTATGTTGGCAAAAGTCATCTCTTTGTGGCTGCAAATTTTCAAACACCTTTTGTGCCTAAAAGGTTAAACGTGGCGACTCTCTTCTCAGCCCAGTCATCCACGCATATGCAATTTCTGTGTCTGGACGCACATCCCCAGGCGCTGGGGGCTAGAGGTAAAGAGAGAGGCACCATCTTGGGTTGACTGTGTTTATTTTACATTGAGAAGAGGCTCAGTTATGAAATTTGTGCTTAGGACTTAAGAATGTCTGTGTGTGCTAAGATCGCTCGTTTTTCAAAATCGTGCAGTCTCGGGAGAGACTGCTGGGAGTCCCCCAACTCCTCCTCTCCTGTGCTGACAGAGCCTTGACTGGACACGTGGGCACCTGACTAGGGACTCAGTCTCCCAGCCTCCTTTGCAGCCGGCGTGATCATGTGACTCATCCCCCAGCCTCCTTTGCAGCTGGCGTGATCATGTGACTGGGCTCTGGACCAGGGAAGACCAGGAAAGACCAGGGGAGCGTGGATGTGCCTGCACACTTTCGCCTCCCGAGGAGCCAGGACACAGACCTGGCTGCGGCCTGCACTGACCACAGAGATGAGGACGATGCCCCAGGGACAGTGCACCCTGAGATGGGTGGAGCCTGAGTCCCGAACAACCCGGTGGGTAGGGAGCCCCCCTCACAGCTGGACTTCCGTGAGAGTGGGCGGGGTTATTTTTTAAAGTTAGGGCTGGGGGGTCGGTTACAGCAGCTCTGCCTATTTCCCCTGGCCCACTGCCTCCCTCCCGCCTGCATCCCTGCATTCCCGGTTCCGCCACCCAGCTGTCTGCGGACCTTAGAACCACCGGGAACAGTGGGGTGGGAGTAGGGGGGCGCACCCACCCATCCCTTCCCCTAGCAGCCCAGGGAGGCTGACTCACAGCCCTGGGAGCGTTCTGAGCGGAATGAAGTGGTCATTTCAGGCCATCGAGTCCATGCTCCTGGCTTCAGTAGCTGTTGTGTTCTTGTCAGCCGACGCTAAAATCTTACAAGCACATGAAGACAAGGAAAGGACAGGACAGCCAGTTTCTGAAACACATTTTTACCCTTGCCCCAGGCGGACAAAGCTGGGACGTAAGCAGGTTGACAACACGACCCTAGCGATTACTGCTCCGGTATATCCGGCCCAGGCGCGGGACTAGATCCTCATATGCATTATGTCATGTGTTCCTCTCGGGGGCCTCGGGCTGGGAGTGTCTTCCTCATTTAGGAGGCCAGGAAGCTGGACACGGAATCACTAGCAGGAGGCAAGGCTGCCGACTGTGTGAGCAAGGGGAACATAGCAACGTCGGAAAAACTTAACGTGGCAGAGTTTTAGTCCCCAAAAAGCATGTACTGTAAACCATGTCAGGGGAAACTACGCCAGGGCTCAGAGTAGCCAAGTAGGAATTGATCTAGATTTTGCTTTTCATCTTGGTTGTCAGAATGGCCTAGAGAACCTTTGCCTTTATTTCACACCAACAGCAGGGGGCCAAGGTTCATGATGACAAAGTAGTGGATTTTCCTGGGTGGTGAGAATTAGGATGACACTTCTGAGACTTACTGAGTCTCGTTTTCTGAGGCAAGGCTCTCCCACGGGCCGTCACCACCACAGTCACTGCCCAGGACCCCACAGGAACAACTCAGCACCCAGGGTTTGGGGGAAGTCCAGGGCCAGAGAGAAGATGAAAACATAATACAGAGAAGCAGTGGTCGCCCTGCAGGCATCAGGGAAGGAGAAAAGGACTTGCTATTTCTGTAGTATTTTAAGAAGCTCCTTGAAGGCCTAGCAAGGCTGAAGAGAATCAGGAAGTCGGCAGAGTGAAAGTCAGAGGTGAAGCTAACTGTCTGGAATTATCTAGCAGGGTGGGGAGCTTTTAAAAATGTGGGCGCCTTGCTGTGACCCTCCCACTGCCCAATCTCCCGTTGTCATCAGTAATGCCCTTTAGTCATTGCAGCTCAGCTAGTGGCTTACAGGTTCTGGACTAGACTTCCCGAAGTGGGTGTATCTTAGGAGGTGTCCGGCCCCAGATTCTTGGTGTACTAGTCGTGGCTCTGGCGCTAATTTTGGCAAGAAACACAGTCTTATACACCGAAAGAGCAATAATACTTTACTTAAAATATATACAAAATTATTACTTTGAAACATATATATTACTATCCAACACACATCAAATAACACTGATTGATGTAAATTTTGGCACCTTCATTCGTTCAGTTTTGTGATTTCTCCTTTACACGAGGCTCCTGTAGAACGTTCTCTTAAATGCCCACCGGAGGGGAGGCGCCCAGAGGCCTCGTCCCCGTGGTGGTCTGGCTGTGCTCTTGGACACCACTGAGGCTGTGCAACTCTGCCTCGCGGCGGGCACTCGGGACACAGAAGTGAGGGGACCCACCTCGATCAATCACATGCCACTGACGGTCTTCAACCAATCTCTATGGCTCTCCTCTCTCCTCTCTTGTCTGTCTCCCCTCTCTCCTCTCTATGTCTCTCCTCTCTCCTCTCTCTACGTCTCTCCTCTCTCCTCTCTTGTCTGTTTCCCTCTCCTCTCTTGTCTGTCTCCCTCTCCTCTCTCTCTTCTCTCTCTCTCCCTCTCACTCTAGGTATACAATGGTCTGGGGGGGTCTGGGCCTGGGTGTAAAAGGAGGGTGAAGTTGGTGAGAAAAAGTGCCAATTATTGGGGCTTCCCTGGTGGTGCAGTGGTTGGGAGTCCGCCTGCCAATGCAGGGGACACGGGTTCGTGCCCCGGTCCGGGAAGATCCCACATGCCGCGGAGCGGCTGGGCCCGTGAGCCATGGCCGCTGAGCCTGCGCGTCCGGAGCCTGTGCTCCGCAACGGGAGAGGCCACAGCAGTGAGAGGCCCACGTACCGCAAAAAAAAAAAAAAAAAACAAGTGCCAATTATTTTCTGGAAAAGCCCTCGTCTGGACTTAGGTTAATGTGAGTTATGTTATCTTTCTTTTTTGCTTCTGTCACAGCAGGAAAGCATGGGAATGGGGAGCTGGTCTCTTCATACAACCTTGGAAAGGAAATGAGAAGAAAAACAACACAAAGGGGAGCGTCTGTGTTTGAGTTACGGTTATCCTGAGATAAATCAGACATGTGCCTTTGGGCCCAGACGGGCGTGCCTCTCACCGTCCCCTACAGTGCCTTGCATGTCGTAGGCACTTAATAAATGCTCACTGCGTGGATGGATAAACGAAGGCAGGGGATCTGGTGACTACAAGTGGAAAACACGCACATGGCAGGGACCTCGGCAGGGATGTGGGAGACCCTCTAGGCCTGCTTCCTCGCTTGGCAGATGGGGAAACTGAGGCCCAGAGAAGTGGGGGTGAAACGAGCAAGGTCATGTGACTAGTTCCTGATGGAGTTAGACTTAGACTTAGAACCGTATTTTCTAAATTTCTCCTTAAATTTCCCAGTCTCTTCAGATCTGAAGCTGTAAGGAGAGCTCCGTGGACTCGACCACGTGCCCTGACCTCAGGAAAGTCACCTCCCCCATCAGAAGCTCCCAGAGGTAAAGGGGGCCCTGGGTGTCGAGGCCGGGCGTACGGGACAAGCAGCAGGTCCCCTCTAGGCAGCTGCCCTCCTGGGACCCCAATCCTGCCTGGGCTGGAGGACCACGGTCCCGGGGAGGTGGCCCCGACGGCAGCGGTCAGACCCCTGCGGCCCTGAGTGAGGTAGAGGAACACAGAGGTCAGTGGGAGTGGGTCGTTGCGTCCCCACCGCAGGTCCCGGGACGGGGTGAAGCGGCAGCCTCAGCGCGTCGAGAGGAACATGTAGACAGAGCCCCCGACCGCTTCTGGGGCTGAAAGCAAGTCGCTGCAAGTACTTGCTGAAAAGATGGAGTGTGGTTCCTGCTCACGGGGACAGACAGAATGAGGACAAAGGGGTCCCGGGAACCAGAGGCGAGAGAGAGGGAAGGGGCAGGGGCTGTCACGGCAGGCAGGGAGGTGACAGGCTTCAGGGTGAGGGTCCAGTGGGCCGGTCCAGGGAGGAGGGTTGAGGATGTGCGCTGGGGTGGGCTTGTCATTTCAGCTGAGCTGCCCCCGAACATTCTCTGGGCTTCGAGCCACCAAGGCCTCCCACGTGTCACACGGGGGCAGCTGAAAAGCCCAGGGGCTCCTCTGCTTCCCGCGTGATTTTGGTTTATAGAACGGACGAGTCGGCCTCGTGCAAAACGCACATCTGAGCCCCGTGAAGAACCTGGCACGTTTCCACAACGTACGCCGCACACGCAGACGCCTCTGGAGAACGCTGGCGCCAGCACACGGACTGATGACCCAGCGGCGAACCACCTGGGTTTCTCGCGTCAGAACACGGCACCACGGCTGTCTGCGAGGCAGATCTTGAGAGCTCTTTACACAGAGCTTTCCTCCTGCCCCGCAGCCAACCTCCCTCCCTGCTCCCCTCGCCTCCCTAACGCTGGGACTCCTTCATCGCCCCCCCCCGTTTCCCCTTTTGTCGTGACGGCCGTCCAGTTTCCATCAGACCCGCAGGGAGAAGAACAATAATTCATCAAAAAAAAAAAAAAATAATTCACCGGCCTGGGCGCCGCAGCTCAGCCGCAACAGATGAGGCCCTTTGCGCTAAGAGGCCCCCAAGTGCTGACGGCGCGGGAGCCCCAGGAAGCCGCGCGGGGGGCGGGGGCTCACCGCCACCCCCTACACGGCGGACTGGTTTTCGGTGCACGCGTAGACGGTGCTCGGCTGGATCCGCCTCCGGATCCGCTCAGGCACTTTGGGGAGGGTCTGGAAGGTCTGGGGCAGCAGCTCCAGGCAGGCCTCGCGGAACTTCTTGATTCGCCAGCAGTAGACGATGGGGTTGAAGACGGACTTGAGGTAGCTGAGCCCCAGGATGCAAGAGCTGGTGGCGTAGAAGGAGGGGCCGCAGTAGAACCTCCGGCTGAACACGGACAGCAGGCTGTAGACGGAGTGCGGCAGCCAGCACAGCGAGAAGCCCACGAAGAGGATCAGGATGGTGGTGAAGGCCTTGGTTTTGAAGCTCAGGTCCAGGCTGACCTGCTGCTGCCGCTGCAGCCGCCGCAGGCCGGCGCGGGGCAGCCGCCGCAGGTCCAGGCTGTCCGACTGGTTGTGCACGCGCACGGCGTTCTTGCGCACCGTGTGCAGGATGCCCAGGTAGGAGCCGAGCATCACGGCGAAGGGCGCGAAGAAGGCGGCGCCCAGCAGCGCCAGCACGTAGGCGCGGCCGGCCGGCAGGTCGGTGTAGCCCAGCACGCACTGCGGCGCCCGCGCCGGCACCTCCACCAGCGGCCAGGCGGCCAGCGACGGGGCCGAGACGCAGAAGGACAGCGCCCAGGACGCGGCGATGATCACCTTGGCCCTGCGGGGGTTCAGCCTGTCCTGGCGCTGGACGATGATGAGGAAGCGGTCCACGCTGATGATGAGCAGGATAGCCACGCCCTCCAGGACGAAGAACCAGTAGAGCGCGGCCGAGAGCCGGCAGAAGGAGTCCCCGAAGCGCCAGCGGACGGTGACGAGGGTGGCGGCGGCGAAGGGCGCGCAGCACAGGGACAGCATGATGTCCGAGAAGGCCAGCGTGGCCAGCAGCAGGTTGATGGCGGAGCGCATGGCCGGCCTCTGGTACACGATGATGCAGACCACGGCGTTGCCGAGCAGCCCCACCACGACCGTCAGCATCATGAGGACCGCCAGGGACACCCTGAGGGGCGCCGGCGGCGCGGGGGGCCCGGGCTCCGCCGCGTGGCTCCCGCTGGGCAGCAGGTATTCGTAGGTCTCGATGGACGAGCGGTTACAGGCCATCGTGGAGGAAATCCTGGAGCCGGGGCAGCAGGGAGAGGAAGGGGCCTCAGCGCCTCGGGGGCGGCAGCCTCCTGTCTGCCGGCTGCATCTGCCTCCCGGCTGTCTTGGATCTGGAGGGCGCTGCAAAGGCTGGGAGGAGCCTCCCTCTTCGGGAGCAACTGGCGGGGATTTGCGATTCATCAATCACGGCCTCATCATCTCCGTGACAACCGACTGTGTCCGCAGCTTTCTCCTCCGACGCTCTCAGCGGCCTGGGGCAAAGAAGCACGGAAGAGGACGGGGTTAGACCTTCCAAGCACGGGTTGAACAGAGCAGTGTTTGCCTTTTACAGGTATTTTAAACATCAGAGTGGCGGTGACTCACTCACTTCCCACGTGGGATAAGGCTTGGTCTTCACAAATACGCCGAGCCTAGTCACATCACCCGGGAAACCCGATTAGACCCACCTTGTGGGGGACCAGGCTTCGTAATCAACATCTCCATAATCGGCATGTATTTTATAACTTGAATTGTAAACAGCCTGATCCAGTGAAGCTTCGGACAAGGCAACCCCCAGTAGAAAGCCAGCGCCATGAGGGCAGGGTCTTGTCTGTGTTGTTTGCTGTGTCCCCAGCGGAGAAGATGCTCAACAGAAATTCTGTGGAGTAAATAAATGGTAGTCGATGCCGCTATTTGTTCTACGTGTGGAGTCACATGCAGTTGTAAGAAATAATCCAGCAAGATCCCGTGTACCCTTCCCCCAATTTCCCCTAATGGTAACACTTTGGATAACTAGTGCTGCTAGAATGTTACTTTTGGAAACACTGATGAAAAGGAGGACACTCTCCCCCTAGATAAACCCTTTTTAAGGGTGCTATTGGGGCTTTCCTGATGGCCCAGTGGTTAAGAATCCGCCTGCCAATGCAGGCGATACAGGTTCGATCCCTGGTCCAGGAAGATCCCATGTGCCGCGGAGCAACTAAGCCCGTGCGCCACAACTACTGAGCCTGCGCTCTAGAGCCCGGGAGCCACAACTGCTGAGCCCGTGTGCCACATCTATTGAAGCCTGCATTCTAGAGCCCGCAAGCCATAGCTACTGAGCCTGTGAGCCACGTCTACTGAAGCCCGCACGCCTAGAGCCCGTGCTCCGCAAAAAGAGAAGCCACCGCAATGAGACGCCCGTGCACCGCAACGAAGATCCAACACAGCCAAAAATTTTTTTAAAAATAGGATGTTGTTATCTTTCATTTCTTGTTTCTTTCATGGGTGTGGCAAGGATGGTGTTCTGTAGCTCAGTCCAAAGTCAGCTTGCTTCAGCGGGTGAAATCCACCACTTTCCCATCAGTGGGCGCCTCCGGAAGGCTGCTTAACCTCTGCTGGTGTGACCTCCTCGTCTGTAACATACAAATTCCATAGCTTCCCACTGACCGATGACTTGGCAGGCTGTCCACTTGAGGCTGAAAGAATGTCGTTGCAGAGACTGGGAGACGTCACTCCTGGCATTCGGCCTTGCTGGGGTTAGGTTGGAAGTGGCTTTGATTCTGTTCCTTCACAGGTGACAAGTTATGGCCTCTTGAAGGCTGGATATTCTCTTTCTGAAGAACGTTTACAAGGCAGCGTCCAGATATGAGTCTTTTCTTGTTGGTTGTGCTGGGTGCTCAGTGGGCCTTTAAACCCAAAGCCGTGTGCCCCTCAACTCGGGGAAAGTTTCTTGTTTCACGTCTTTGCTAGTTTTCTCCCTTTTGATCTTTGTGGGGAATACTTAACAGGTAGATGCTGGACCTCACTGATTGGGCCTTAATTTTTCTTTTCTTTTCCCTTATTTTTTTTAAAAAAACTTATTTAAAAAATCTTCATTGAAATGTAGTTGATTTACAATGTTGTGTTTCCGTGTGTGTGTGTGTGTGTGTGTGTGTGTTTAACTTCTCTGCTTTGGACTCTTTTTTACACTGTGCTCTGAGGGGTTTTTTGACTTTATGTTTAGTCCTATCTAATTTCTGACTTTGGCAGTCACGTTTTTAAATCTCAGGGTGTTCCTATCTTCTGTGTCTTTTGTGCAGCTCTTCACTCATTGAGGGATGTACGCTCGAAACTCTCCAGGTTACTAGAGGTGGTATTTTAAGTTCTCTTCATTTATTTCTGAACTTTTTCTGGTTCCTCTGGAGTCAGGGCCTCAGTTTCTCTTTTTTTTTTTTTTTTGTGGTACGCGGGCCTCTCACTGCTGTGGCCTCTCCCGTTGAGGAGCACAGGCTCCGGACGCGCAGGCCCAGTGGCCATGGCTCACGGGCCCAGCCGCTCCGCGGCACGTGGGGTCTTCCCGGACCGGGGCACGAACCCGCGTTCCCTGCATCGGCAGGCGGACTCCCAACCACTGCACCACCAGGGAAGCCCTTGGCCAAGGTTTTGAGATGTGTTTTTCCCATTTCCTTCCATTGAGGTGGGAGCAGCTCTGCACGTCCTTGTCACCAAACACCTCCTGTCTTGGCTTTTTTAAAAAATTTATTTATTTATTATTTTTGGCTGTGTTGGGTCTTTGTTGCTGTGCACGGGCTTTCTCTAGTTGTGGCGAGCAGGGGCTACTCTTCTTGCGGAGCACGGGCTCTAGGTGTGCAGGCTTCAGTAGTTGTGGCGTTCGGGCTTCAGTAGTTGTGGCTCACGGGCTCAGTAGTTGTGGCTCATGGTCTCAGTAGCTGTGGCTCACAGGCTCTAGAGCGAAGGCTCAGTAGTTGTGGCACACGGACTTAGTTGCTCTGTGGCATGTGGGATCTTCCCAAACCAGGGCTTGAACCCGTGTCCCCTGCATGGCAGGCGGATTCTCAACCACTGTGCCACCCGGGAAGCCCCTGTCCTGGCTTTTGTTTCCAATGTAAAACCCGGAGATTCTGCTGGGTTTTCTTGGAGAGCGGAGAGCAGGCTGAGAGGCAGAGGAGTGTCCTGACAGACAAGGAGAGGAACGCCAGCCCAGGAGAGGTTCCTAGGGGACAGGTTCGGCGGGGAGTGGGTACACAGAGGGCTAGGGGTTCTAGAACCTCTCCGAGCTTCTCCAAGGATTTGACCGTCCTAGTAACGATGGTCCTGCAGCCAGAGATCAGTCCTTGATAGGATGTCACTGACTGTATTGCAAACATGTAGTTTCAGGTAACAGATCTCCTCTTAGCTGGTAACATGCAGCTCTGAGTTGATGGGAAGGGACAAAGTCTAAAATGTTTTTCTTCCTTTTCCATTTTCAAAGTCTGACATGAAGAGACCATCCAGGCTGTAACCTGAGATGGAGCTCGCTAGAACCCAGAGGGGGAGGGAACGCAGTGTGCAGGCAGAAGCCCCTGGACTGGGCAGAGGGTTGCTGGGAGGGCAGCAGGGCCGGGCAGAGGGCAGAGCTGAGCCAGGGGAAGACTTCCTGGCAACTGGGAGGTTAAGCGCCAGCATGGGTTCTCAGTGGAGGCTCTTCTCTCTTTCCTTGTTGCCCCTAAAACAGAATGGACTCAAGGCAGGTGCACATGGAGGCAGCAGGGTGTGTCACCACCTGTGTTGTCTGAGAAAAAACAATGCACAACCTAGAAGCTGAGAGTTATGTTTTATCTGGCGGACGAAACTGAGGACTTAAGCCCGGACACAGCATCTCAGATCACTCCGAGGGACGGCTCCGAAGAGGCCAGGGGATGGGGGTGGGGGTGGGGCCAGGATATATGGGAGTTTCTGCAACACAGACCAGGTAGTTGGAACATCAGAGGATGACGTGAAGAAAACCAG